TGAGATGAATTTTTCCAGGTACACTGTTGATGAGCTAGCTAAGCCTCAAATGACCGAAAAGACCATACGGCGTTTAAACCACTCTGATCTGACTGCATAGCGAAATACTACAGATGTGCTTGAGTGCTTTCTAACTACTCAAGTTGTCCAGTAGTAGTGTTTTTCGCTAGTTAATGAGACTTATGCATCAGAGGTCACACTTTGTGATCTCACCTAACTCATTCCCAGTGGTAACTCGCTTTTGACACCACTGTCAAGGGCAGTTGAAAAACTACTCAGCTGTGTGAAAAACGTCAACATGGACCGTGAAATTTGTAGATAATTTGCGAAATTATCATCCTATTTTATGCATGAAACTGATTTGTACCTCTCACTATTGTGGATTTGCACGTCGAGTTAAATCAACCCAGTTTCCCAGTAAAGTGAAATAAAGGGATGCCATAAATCGTAGTCATTCATAGTGAACAAATACATCACGGCTACGGATGGCGATGAACAACTCAATCGAAACAATCGATATAACATTTCAATTGTGTTGAATAAACTGATCAAAACGGACTATAGCTGAGGAGTCCCATAGTGGGACGAAACAGCTACCCAGTGCTTCTAGCTTCCCAATGTTTCTCCAACTGATATCAGTGCATGATGAATGCCAAGTGGAAAAGTTATTTAATCCCCACCAATCCCCTAATATAACACTTATAATCTGCAAATTATTATAAATCACTTTATGTAATCTTGAGTAAACATACTCACTAATCGTCAACAGCTATATAACAACGCTACATGCTAAGTGATTCACAATGGGAAGCTCAGCTCAGTGATGCCTTTGAAGTGAAGACAGGAGTAAGACAGTGTTGCCGCCCACTATCATCACTGATCATCTTCCTCATTGTGGTCGACTCGACTCGACTGGACCATGCAACAAACTGTGAGGAGCTGTGAGAAGATGGGCGTACTCTAACTTGACCAATGAAAAGACCCTACAAGATGATCTAGATCTCGTCAACGATGATCATTTATGTCCGATGTTTTGTAGCACAAACTCGAACATCTACAGGCCAAAACTAACAACTTGGCACAACAGGTGAGGCAGGGCAGCAAAAGAAAACAAAACTTCCTTCTCGTGAATGTACAGAATACACACGTGATCAAGATACCCAAACAACAACAACAACAAGCACCAATCATCATCAACGGGAGAAATCGAAATGAAGTTGTCTCTTTCACCTATCTACATCGTTTTAACCACAGACGGTACAGGCACACATGACGATGTCAAAGCCAGCCAGCCAGCCAGCCAGCCAGCCAGCCAGCCAGCCAGCCAGCCAGCCAGCCAGCCAGCCAGCCAGCCAGCCAGCCAGCCAGCCAGCCAGCCAGCCAGCCAGCCAGCCAGCCAGCCAGCCAGCCAGCCAGCCAGCCAGCCAGCCAGCCAGCCAGCCAGCCAGCCAGCCAGCCAGCCAGCCAGCCAGCCAGCCAGCCAGCCAGCCAGCCAGCCAGCCAGCTAGCATCGGAAACACAGCAACACAGGTCTTCATTACCCTAAACCAGTGTGGAGACCTACTAAACTGAACTGCACTCCACTGCACTGCACCCCACCCCACTCAGCATAAAGCGTCGACAACATCCGGATTCTCAACACGAATTCACTCAACTAAGTCAGTGCTCCCATGTGATGCTTCACACACTTTGCGCCTTATTACGAAAAGCATTTCTAACAAACTACAGACATACATCACATCACATCAACAGCTGCCGCCCACGCTCACTCTATACTGACACTCAAGATCAGATCACATGGCAAGAATAATAAGAATAAACAACAAGCAACTCTGGTTGGCCCCGCAACCAACCAACCAGGAACCTATCGCGCAATAAATATGCAGAAGAAAGTGGGGAAGACCATTCAGACATCACGTGTCAGGCCAGGCCGTCAATTGGAACCAAGATGGGAAACGAGGGGTTGGGCGTCCGATGTGAGGGTGACATGGAGGAGATGGTGTGAAGATAAAATGAAAGCTTATGGGCATTGGTACTACAGACATTCATCAACAACTGCCTTCTCTGGCTCGATACTGAAGATCAGATGGCATAGCCAGAAAGAATAAGCAACAAGGAGCTCTGAGAACGACCCAAGAACCTATCACCCAGCAAATATGCAGGAGGAAGTGGAGATGGATTGGGCATACACTGAGAAGGCCGACTGGGGACATCACGCACCAGGCTCTTGAGTGGAATCCCCATGGGAAGCGACGAGTTGGGTGTCCGAGATGACGGTGACATGGAGGAGATCGTGCGAGGAGGGAATGAGAGGTTGTGGGCTGTCGTGGAGCCAGGTTCAAAAGATTTTAGTGAACAGAGTTCACTGGAGACGTGCTAGTGAAGCCCTATGTTCCACTAGGAACCCAAAGAACAATAATAATAATCTAGAAGTTATATATTATATTAAGGATGCTCAAACCTTGACAAACTGACCCATTAACTGACAGTTCACTAAATTTTCCACTGAACTCTACAAACATGAGTATACTAAGTAATTGAATTTCTTGTTGTCATAAGTACAACACAATGAACTGAGGTGGATGGTATATGCGATCCAAATATTCGTCTTCGTTAAAAACAATTTGGAAAATACACCATTGAGTAAAGAAGATAATCATCAAACTGAGTATAAATCAATCATATTCCATTATATATCTAGCTTAAAAGGATATATGAGAAGGTAAATGAGCATACTCTCATACATTATAATAAATTGAAAAGTATTTTTAAAGCTGAATCATTGATCTAAACAAATTTCCACCAGATGGCTATTGGTTTGAACCCTTCACTAGCCACCGAAGTCAATAATTATTTATTATTTGTCCCTTGGGTTCCTAATGGAACATAAAGCTTCAGTAGCACGTCTCCATTCCACTCTCTTCTCTGCAATCTTCTCTTTCAACTTGGCTACACCACTGCCCACAAGCTTTCATTTCTTCCTAGCACGATCTCCTCCATGTCACCCTTGTCTCACACGCCCAACTCGTCGTTTCCCATCTGGGTTCCATTCGAGGGTCTGGCCTGACGCTTGATGTTCCCGAATGGTCTTCTCAGTGCATGCCCAATCCAATCCATCTCCACTTCCTTATTTTGCATATTTGTTGAGCGATAGGTTGTTGGTTGGTTCGTTCCCAGAGCTCCTTGTTGCTTATTCTTATTCTTTCTGGCCTTCTCATCTGATCTTCAGTAATGAGCCAGAGTAGGCATTTGTTGATGAATGTCTGTAGTTTGTTGGAAATGCCTTTCGTGATGCGCCAAGTCTCTGAGCTATACAGAAGCACTGACTTGACTGGATTGGTGTTGAAAATGCGGATGTTGTTCACGCTTTATGCTGAGTGTAGTGCAGAAGATCTCCACACAGGTTTCAGGTTAATGAAGGCCTGTCTTGCTGTGTTTCCGATGTTGGCTGGCTTTAACATCCTCGTCTGTGCCTGTGGCACCTGTAGTTGAAACAGTGCTGCCTAGATAGGTGAAAGAGGCTAATTCCTTTAAGTTCCTCACGCTGATGGTGATTGGAGCTTCTTGCTGTTGTTGGTTGAGTATCTTCATCACCTCTGTCTTCTCTACGTTCACACCGAGGTCAAGGTAGTCAAACATTACCAATCTCCATACTTGAAGAGTAGTCTATAGTCTAGGCCATTAGCCTGAGGATGAGACTACAACCAAGGCACTCGACTGCCATATGCCCAAACTGTTTGCAGAAGAGTTGGACAACCACGACTGAAAACTCTTAGTGAACAACGCCTCCACTTTTATCAAGGAGTATCAACTTACTTCCACAGCCTGGTAACAAGTGAACTGCTATTCCTGACGTTGATTCTATGACGGATGGATTACACTGTGAATCAAAAGACTTGAAAAGTTGACCCATAACACAATCTTGTGCTGTAATCTCAGTGTTCAATCAGAAATCACAGTCATCAAACAAAACATCACTCATCCTACAATCAACACATCAAACCACTTGTCAAATCCAACTCACTAATCATCTCTCTATGATTCACTATTATTTGAGCTTACATCTCATTACCACCATTCACATATTCCAATTGCTACATTTACGTGTTAACTGGTATTGCTTTATTCCCATCATCATTCAGCGTACTTGTTGGCTAAAGTTATTTGAAATTCCCGTTTATCTGGGTTGTTTTAATTCGATAAACACAATATAAGAACTTCCGGGGGTCGAGTGTACGTACAGATATCATCTGGAAACGCATAGACAAAATCAACGTAGAACGCCGTACACAGGTGCATCAGCTGAAGTTACCACATTTCACAGTAGTATACAAAGAACAGGTAGATAGAAAGATGAGTGATATCTAAGTAGATTAAGTTGTGTGCAAATATTCAAGCTTCAGAAAACGTCAAAAAGTGAATACATTTGCGCCATCATGAGTGATTTTCAGCCAAGTCACTAAAAGTCCTCATTTCACCTCGATGACTCCAACCAGGCAGTATACATATCTCCCAACAAGGTTCAGATCAACAGTTAAGAACTTTATCGACTGATGCCAAAATTTGGTCTGGTCACCCTTAACCCTTTTCCATCATAATGCAGCTTTCCCTAGAATGACACGTTGAGGTAGGCGGTGGATCGGGATGTGCAATACATGTCTAAGCCATATGACTCGATGAAGGTTCACGACTTCACCAACCAACTTGTCTGTCTTGCTTAATACCCTTCTCCTGACCTGAATATTACCCACGCGGTGATTCCACCAAACATGAGGAACACTGTAGAGACATATATGACCAAAAACCTGTAACCGCTTATTTCATTCGCATCTGGTAACACTGATATGCGACATTATCAGTAGATATAACTTTGAGTCGAAAGCAATAGCCACATTACGTCATAATCTTGTTAAATCTCCCATGAGGTAATATGAAATTAATAGTTCATATTGTATACAGAGTGATTGTGTATTTCAAAAGAATAGAATAAAATTACTCACTTCATTTGTTTGACAATTGTACTCTTTCCTGATTCACCAGCACCTAGAAATTTACATTGAAAAAAATATAGTTTAGAATGAAAACCTCATAAGTGATATAAACAGCTGATATGTCAAACACAACAACAATATTCAAGTGATATACATATTTAAACTGATGACAGGTATGTAGTAAAATAAACATAGACATAAATAAAATATATTTGGGAGATTAAGATCAAGGCAAAATTAGAGATTGAATGTATCTTTTTTGAATACAAAGATGAGGCTCGTAGTACTGGAATTCCCGGAGCTTCTGGCGTGTTTAGGTGGCGAATACGCACTCCCTTCGAAATCTTTACCTTTACTTTACAAAATGAATTTGACAGAAGACTCTCATGGAGTACAGTGACCTGAGATAACGAAATGCTCAAGAATCGAGCTGTTAACGACTTTACACTGTCCTTTAGACAACCATTTAGGATAGTGTTCGGAGATGCGTTTTTGTGGAACACACTGCGCGGCATATGTGACCAGCTCTACAAGACCAGATGAATTGGTAAACATACGTGGGGGTGGTCCAGAGCGGTAGTTTATCCCAGGCACACCTTCGAATCAGTTGTTGAATGAAGCTGAGCGGAAAAGAAAGTCTTCTTCAGTGCTTTTCACAGTTGGTTCTTCAGTATTTCTACCAATGTATCTCCTTTGAATTCAATATTCATAAATGGTATCCTCTCTGGAATTCTAAGGCAAAGCACTGAAGAAGACCTTTTACGCTCAGTTTCCGATTGTTTCCTTCAGACAACAACCCATTCTGAGGCATGTATAGGATACACTACTTCATTAGGCCACCTCTATGTGTGCGTTTAGCAATTCACCTGGTCTTGTAGAGCTGGTTACATAGGCAGCACGAAGCGTGTTCCACCGCTAGAACGGCCTTTAAAGTCGACCAAATGTATCCACACTTTATCTTCATTTGAACCGTTATACTCAATTCAGCACTATCTAATCTGATTGATTTTTCTTTCTTATTTCATCTTTCATCCCACTACTTTGATGCTTCTCGTACTGATGAGGTGTGACCCCTTTTACACTGTCGAAGATTAATATCTGATCGCATGTTGATATCGATGATGGTAAGCGGACAGTAGGTTTCCTGGATACACCAGTAAGTCGAATGAAACGAACCACATTCAGTTAACTACCTTGTGCACGCACATACGTGTAGTAGGCAATGAGCCACATCCATTGTGTGACAGCTAGTGATACTACTACTTCGCTGTCCAAACCTTAGTAGGTGGAGCAGGATTCCAACCAATAGTCATCTCATTAAACCACTGAGCTACAGCTACAGCTGCAGCTGCAGCTGCAGTAAGTCAGTCGGTATTAGCATCGGATTCGGTATCATTACGTGAAGTTCCGACCTGTCAAATCACCTAACATCATCACATTGAAATATCAGGTGAAATAGTAAGAGATAAAGGAAGAGAATGGACATAATGGAAAACCACAGGAAGCCACCCATGGGATGAAAAGAAGTGGAGTAAATGTGACACAATGGTTGACATGAAGATTAGATGTGGATGTGCACGCTCTATTCACATCGATTGTGAGACATATCACATAGAGAGTTCCCAATCATCGATTTCATGTGTTTTGTGTCACCAAGTGTGGGAAGTTACACTTTCTCCTCTACAAGGATTAGACTAACAGTCAAAGGCTACATGGACTGTTTCTCAATAGACCACTCACCTACTACCACCTACTTCTTAGAAGTTTGTATCATGGAGTGTGAACTATACACCTGGTTTTTAATGGAAGTGGATGGTAGTATCCAGTTGTTCAAACCTAGATAGGTGAAGTGGGATTCGTGCCAAGGGTCGATTTATGGAGGGAGAAATGTGAATGTCTAATCCAATGATTCAGAAGTTCACTCATAGACATATGAGTGAGTGTGCATAATGGTATTATTTAACGAAATAGTGAATGAGTTTGGAGGAGAATTGAGGTGGTAACTGAAGTAGAACTAGCGACCTTGTTGACGACTTTATTGTCGGTTTGATGTGGCTACTCAGTGGACTTTCATGAAATAAAGTTGTTCGATAACGATTGTGAAATATTTGAAAAGTAAATGAAGAGGAGATGATAGATTAGATACAATTGGTTACCAGAAACCATCACACGTGAATAGATAGTTGGATTTCACATTATCTCATTCTACATCTGTCAATGTAGACTTGGTGAAATGTTTAAGTGGTTGAACCAGGAGTGTGACTTATGAGTCATAAAATCCAACTAAGGAACTCAAACATCGTGAAAACACATAAAACATACTACCCCTTCAGATTCGATTGAAGAATTTTCTAAAGACTCATAACAGGATTGTAAAGAATCGTGACATTCAACTCCCCCAAACTAACTCAGAGTGAAACTTTCTCTATCAAATAAAGGGTTCAGTAGACCCCCAACTGAGCAAAATAACCCTAATCTATCGAATGCCACATGTAATGATTGTGAGATTCGGTGCATAAGTCGAAGTGGTCAATTGAGGTCAGTTAGGACATCATATCATGAATATTACCCTACTAAGATCAATATTCAACAGAAAATCTCCACTATGACTCTGTGCATACACAAACTCATAAACACACACTACACTATCGGATGAGAGAGACTTCAATGATGCGACACATAGGATGATGGTTTCGTTGTATACCATTCAAGTAAATGATCCTAGAGATACAGTTAAACGGCACATAATGTGTTCATTGTAACCCTGAAAACGGTAGGATTGATTTCAAATTGGTCACAGGTATGCATTGCTGAGGTAGGTGTCTCGAACTGGGAAAAAACAATTATTAAGCACTTAATGGTTTCCAGCATTTCTCTAGATAATATCAATCCATAGTAAAAATGAGATCAACTACATGTTTGCTTTAAAATGGACTATTATCGATAGTGGCCTTACTGTCTGATTGACAAGTGATAAACTCAACGCTGAACCTCGTACACACGACCATCGGTTCAACTTTCTCACAATTTTGTAGATAGTAGTACACAAAGAAGGATTGGATAGAAAAGGAGTGATATCAAAGTAGATGAAGTAGTGTAAGAGAATAATCAATTTGAAGATAAAGGTTATTGTCACCCTGAAGTCTGTAACAACCTAAAGCAGCATCGCACAGAATGGAATATTGTGGTAGCCGATGGCTCGGCATGCGAAGCACATTTCTTTCCATCATTTCACATTCCATACAGCCTTCTTAACTCCAAGGAGAATTGGATGACCGACATCTACGTCTCATTCAGTTTCAGGCTGGATGTCGGTAACTGAAACCTTGATGATAGCCAGATGAACTGTCGTTCAACGTGTTCTGCTCAATGTTCTAGGCTATTGTTATAGGAGGTTATCAGCATATCTCCCTTTTCCGTGATGGTTTCACAAACCTAATTAGTTACCGAGTGTTACCAAACCGACTGAATTAGCTACCATTGGCATATAGATAGGTAAATCCAGTTGAGGAGTCCCAAATAGGATGAAACGCGTATCCTGGACTCCAGTGTTTGCCAGTATACATTAGTAACATCTAATTTGAAGATACCAGCAATATCAAGGCATTCGCAAAAGAACTCATAAGCCGACAGTGGTCGATCAATTCAGTTGATTCACCGACAGAGATGCACAAGTTATAACATAAAAGACTGTAGTAAAAAGATTTTTGAAATTTAGGTGTGATCCCCATGAATTTTTACCAGTGTGATTATTAATTCTGAACCAAGTTACCAGTTGTTTCGTTGGCCTCAACCAAAACAAACTGTAATTCCATACACCAGTCAAATCAGCAGTCAGAATCTTAACAGATGGTTGTCACATCTTAGTCTAACTATCCTCAACTCTTTTACAAACTAATTTTGTTATACCCAGCAAGGCATTTTTGGGGGAGGCAGTAGACGGGAGCTATGAAGATCCTCCACTCCAGAATAACTGGATTTTTCCATGTTCTTCTTTACTATTTATATTGAAATTTCTTTGCTGGTTCTTTTGTTGTCCTGATTTATTCACAGATTGTTCGTTTTCGTGATGATAATGTTCCCGCCTTTCAGCAGTACCGATACTATTACATGTATTAAGATATTTGTCCACTTTTCCATAGCATAGATTTTATTTTCCAGTCATGTTTAAGATATCATCAGAATAGGAAAAATATTCATACAACTCACACATTTTGAAACCTTTTCTTGAGAATTATAGACACAAGAAAGCTGTAGTACAACTGCCTTCACTTCGAGTTCTGAAACAAATTCTTTAGTATTGAACTAGACAGATAGATCAGTTAGTTGCGGTTGGCTGATTCGTGCGTTCAACCCATTTCTACAGGGGGTTATTCATGACCGGAATATATTAGTGACAAAGTCACTGGCTTCAGTGCTAACTGAATCACTGAGGGAAGTTTAATCTCATCGTGGTTGTAGATGTGCCCTGCAGATGAGTGCCAGCAAGTACGAAACCCCGGTCTATCGCTCCCAGACAATTGACTCCTAGCATTTGACAGGAAGATATTTAGTCAAATCATGGTTGAACATAATTTGATTGACTCATTCACATCAGTGCTGACTTCGGTAGCCATAAATGACAGCACTTATCATCTTGATATTTATTCCCTTCATTCTAATGTTCTTAAACTCAAGTATTGATGGGTATTCCCCTCATTTGGTAATGGGATATTTGATAACCGAAGTGGATGAAAATAGATAGACTGTATGCAAAGACAGATACTTCACGACGAAGTTTAGTTTCGTGTTTAGAAAGTAAGATCACCACTGTGTCATTTTTTAACTTTAACTTTGAGGAGAATATGCCACTGAATTTCTACCACTACTTTTTTTCTCACAACTTACAGAAGGATTTTGTTGTTATAAAATCAGTAACTTCTATAATGACCTCGTGTGGCGATTGACTACATTGACTGATGCTACATCCATACGTCGGATCAAAAGTTAATCTAGACTAGTATAATCTTTATGAATTCGAATGCGAATAACAGCTTGTCGCTAGATAAAGTT